CACGTGTGGACTGTGTGCTCGTTTGTTACCCTTATCCTATAAAAAACAACTATACACTTATGAAATTTTTGTAAGTTTTTTTTTTACTATTCTGAGATTTACATGCAACATGTATAAAAATTTAAATTACATCACAACCCTTCAACTGCGTTATATAGAAATAAGAAATGATAATGTTATTCAAAGGAATGAGATCATTACGACAGAGTTCCTAAAATTTCTTTTTCACGGCGTGCCAATACGATTATTTCGAAAGTGTCGCGCTTTGCTCTTGTATTTGTGCCAGAGTTAATAGCACGTGGGCGGACGCAGGTGATAGATGGGTGTTAACTTTAAACTAACAATGTAAGCTATGTGACACAAGCGATAGAGATATATAACATTTAAATCATTGTTTATAACTTTTATTTAATTTAGGAGAGAGTAAACTTTAAACCCTTAACACCACTTGCGGGGGAATATGCTCCCTAATGGGGACGCACATTTTTGGAAATATTTTTATTGTTTTAAGCGTGACGCGATCGTGACTCATTGTATTCTCTGTACCGCCAGAGAGCTTCCTAAGGGGTTTATGTGTCTGGATGCATCAAATTGTTCACGAGGTATGGGCCGATAGGGTATCTAGGTCCACCACGAGTGTAATTATGTAAGCAAATTTATTTAATTTATTTTTCATCTATTTGGTTTTTTAGATCAGTATTACATCACGGATTAAAATTTGACACGCCGGCAGATAGGAAATCTGTTATGTATGTAACGTTAACTCAAAACAAAGTAATAAACAATAGTTGAAAAAAACTAAAAAAACACGCTTTCGTAGATAACCGAACTAAAAAGTAGAAAATAATTATCAATAAGTTTAAGATAAGAAAATAGTGCTTAAAATAAAAAAAATAATTTTATTGTAAAGAAGCGTGGAGTGCTTTTTCAGATATTTTTATGATGACGCTAATTTTACAAATATCCACAAAAATATTTACAACAAATGACATCAAGCACCCCACGCTTTTTTACAATAAAATGAATTGTTTATTTTAATCACTATTTTCTTATTTTAAACTTATTGACCATTATTTTCTAATTTAAAGCTTGGTTATCTACAAAAGTGTATTTTTTTTACTTTTTTTGAACTATTATTTATTTTCTAATTTTTAGTGCGAGTAACTACAAAATCGTGTTTTTTTTTTGGAACGAAGTTCTTTTACGCGGCTTATATAGATGAAACTGAAAAAATCGTAGATGAAACTGGCATAAATCGTAGTTGTTTTATGAATTATTCGCAAATCTTGAGGGTCCTGGCAAGGATAATGGAACAAACTATTTAAATTATTGCATTGTCATCGATCCTTGATAAGTGTGCGAAGTTTCAAATCAATTAGACGTTTAGAAGGGGATGAAAATCACATTCAAAAATTCTGTTACATAGACACATACCAGGCCAATAAAAGCGTATTAAAATGTGTAGCCATTTCCAAATCATTTGGTTTTATTTGAACGAGCGCAGTTTGAAGCGAGATTTTCGCAACCACAATACGGAAAGTGCAGAAAAATATGAAAGTAACTCCAAAAATAAAGGCATACGCCAACAGAACAAGTGTGATACCTTTTATGAAACAATATATAATTTTTGGAAGAACTTAGATATGCTTTTCCACTACTTACGTTCTGGATAGAAGAAATTAAATTTTTCAAGGGATCCAAAAGAAAAGTTTCTCCGTCAGTTTGATGTTGAGCCTCCTAAAGCTTCATCGGTATACGAATCGAACACTAAAGCAAAAGGTAAAAGTCACGGTATTATTTGCACCCACGCCGCCAGGATAGTAATATCCTAAAAATTGGGCTCAAAATGCATCAATTATGTTTGTCGCATACATTCTATAATATACTTAAGAGTATGTGCCAAATGTCAGAAATAAAGTCAACATTACAATATAAGGCTAATTAGAAGTTAAATATAAAAAACCGAAATGATGATTTACGTGGTAGAGCCATGCTGCAGCTATATTAGTAGTATAGTTGTAGCACGAATGGGTCGGCTCGACCGGGGAAGGACCACGCTCTCACAGAATACCAGCGTCAAATAGCAGTTCAACACTGCTGTGTTTCGTATGGTGAGTGTAGAGAACCGGAGACCCTTTTTACTGGAAAAGAGGCATTCCATCTTAGTCCTCACGAGTGACAACGCATCTGCGTTTTGATTCGCAAACGAAGATAAATGTAGATGTCCATGGGCCACAGCATCCACTTACCATCAGGTGGACTGTGTGCTCGTTTGTCACTCGATCCTATAAAAAAAAAAAATTTGCTATGTAAACAAAGATGTATATAACTTCCATTGTGATTTTGTTGTTGAAGTTATTTAGAATTTCATACCTAACTAGCTGTGCCCCGCGGTTTTACCCGTGTATATCACCTGTCTGAGCCGCGCCACATGACATGACACCTAGTTCAAGCATATGAGATAGCAATGTATGGAAAAATTTGCAAAATTAATGGAGTACTTTTATATAACACACAAACACTCACGCCTGTCACCCAGAGGGGTAGGCAGAGACTACGGACTTCCATTTGGCGCGATCCTGACACACCTCCCTCGCCTCCTTTACATCCATATATTTACGCATACACGCTCGTCAGTTAAGGATACTCCTAATCTGGCCCATTTTTAATGTATCGCCGATTTGGTCGATAAACCTTCGTCTAGTGCGTCCCTTCTCGACTCTGCCGTTCACTTCTGCAACATAAATGCACTTTATCACTCTTTCATCGTTCATTCGTTCTACATGACAAATTTATTACGTTTAATTTATGTAAATAGCTTAAAATAATGATATAATATACAATATTAAAAACTATAATAAAATAAACTAAAACTAGTAACTTAATTATCATACAGTCATACTCCCCGCGGTATCGTGCCAAAAACGCTGGTTGCGTTTCCCCGCTGAATGGCTATACTTAGCCTTTTAGCAAGAAAAGAACCAGCCCTCTTACGTGGACCCCACGGACCAATAATATCTACAGCAAATGACACAAATATGTAGTCATCTCTCAGAGACTTATATTTGTGCCACTTACTCAGTTCAACTGCATTTGATGCCGCTCCGGCTCTAAACGAGGTACCCCTGAGATGAGAGGCCGCCAAAGTGTCTACGTAAGTAGCACGCCACACTAGGGCTTTATCTCTCTCCGAAGGAACCAATATCATACCGTCAGGTATCTTGCCATCATCTCTAAATATCCCATAAGGCTCTAAAACCGATGGAACATTTATAGAGACAAGAGCCCTTCGGATGACATGGTTCAAAGAACCGTGCCGTGAAAACCTTAAAATAAAACAAAATAAATGTCAAGTTACTATACTGTACAATGCCGTCAAAAATATATATTACGTTTAAACTAGACTTGCAACGAATAGTGTATTCGGCCACACGCCGAATACCGAATATTCTGTGGGCTTTGTGGCCGAATAGCGAAATATTAGACAAAAGTATTCGGCTGGGAAGGAAGTAGTGTTTAATATTCAGAGCACCTATTCTCTGAAGCTGGGGTAGTCTATGAGAAGAAAACGAGTAAACAACTGCTTGAAAATGAAGAAAAATTAGTCTTTCTGCACTATAATCTTCTACTTTAATTACGATAATTCGAGTGCCTAGACATTTATCTGATAGTTTTTATTTTTATTTTTTTAATACAGTAGTTGATTACATACCTATAACTACTATAATAATTACAAGAAAAATACATTATTATAAAAGAAATCAATATTTTCATTTTACCAATCATCTCACTACAACAAAACATCTTACTTAAGTATTCGGTGTTTCACCGAATAGTACCTAGATTTTTTTAATAGGATAATGGTGACCGAGCACATAGTCCACCTGATGGTAAGTGGTTGCTGTGGCCCATAGACATCTATATCTATCCTCGATGACGAATCAAAATGCAGATGCGTTGTCAGCCGTGAGGACTACGATGTACTACGATCTTTACCAGTAAAAAGGGTCTCCGGTTCTCTACACTCACCATACGAAATACAGCAGCATTAAGCTGCTATTTTACTCTTGTATTCTGTGAGAGCGTGGTTCTTCCCCGGTTGAGCTGACCCATTCGTGCTACAACTATACATTTAATACAGCAGCAACATGGCTCTACCATGGTTAAAACGGTTAGATATTCGGTATTCGACCGAATAGGATAAAAGTAGCCGAATCGGCCGAATACTGAATAGTATCCGAATATTCGTTGCAAGTCTAGTATAAATATTATATTTTACCATTCCATAATATTATTTATTTTACGTTCATTTAAAATTATTTTTTAAATAACAGTTATTTACGGGGTTTGTTATCGAAAATCAGTAGAGTAGCAAGTGTGCGAGGCCATCAGTAAAATTCAGCGCGTACGGCGCGTACGGCGCGTGCGACGCGGACAAATGTGCGTTCAGCTTTAAGCGCATAGTCGTTACGCGGCTTTAGATTTCTTCTTTCATTATACATACTTTTATACTACTATGATTATGCGCATACGTTCGTCCGTTGACTGTCTTCTTGGTCTAGTGGTCGTCAACGCGACTGCTGATCATGAGGTACCGATTTCTAATCCCGGGCCAGGCCAAAAAAAATCAGTTATTGAGTTTTTCTGTCAAGAAATTCTCAGTCGCCGCCCGGAGTCAGGAAGTTAACAGTGCATCATCAACCCCGTAGCTCGGAAAGCACGTAAAGCCGTTGGTCCTGTGGCTGACCTCTCTCCGGTCGTGTTGAGTTGCCGTTCGATCGGGCTGTGAGAGTGAAATAATAGAAGAGTGCACTGGCGCAATATTATCCTATCACGCTCATATGGCTAGTCTTCATTGAGACGGGCTGCCGTGACTGAAATTCGTTTAGAAGGATATATACTACTAAGTTTATAGTTTATCAAACGTTTCTTTATGCGCATATTTTTCATCTCGTTATTTATTCATATAAGTATTAATGTAGGATATAACGTCATTTCAGAGTCCACGAAGTGAACGGGCACCAATTCGTTGCGAAGTTCTTTCGGCAGCCGACGTTTTGCGCATTCTGCAAGGAGTTTCTGTGGGGCTTCGGCAAGCAGGGCTATCGATGCGTTGTGTGTCAGACCGCCGTGCACAAGCGTTGTCACAGCAAGCTGCTGGGAAAGTGCCCCGGCTCCAGCGCTCACTCCGACGCTACCATTGTAAGTACAAAAGATCAGTTGCAGTTATCCATAAGCTGTTCAATAGCCACTTGTCACAGGTGGAATGTTAATTCGTTTGTTACTCTGTAGATGTAAGACACGTGACTTTTCTACCGACTTCAAAAAGGTGACGGTACGCAATGAGACTGTATGTTTTTTATGTGTGTTACCTCATAACTTTTTTCTGGGTGAACCGATTTCGATGATTTTTTTTTATTTGAAAGCTGGTGCTTCTCATGTAGTCCCAAATAAATTTGATGAAGGTCTGACCAATAGTTTTTGAGTTATTCTTAATAATTTATATTGAAGTCGGTTGTAAAAAAAAATAATTTTTAATTATGTCGTTTTGTTATATTAACGATATCAGTAATCTAGCGCATTAATTTGCTATAATTTATTGTTTAAACGACGCGTAAATGAGGAAAATCTAAAAATATTGAAGTGACAATGGAGCAAATAGTCCACTGAACGGTAAACTACAACTACAGCAAAATAGGAGATTCCATCTTAGGAACGCCTCGTTGCAAGAAAATGTAGATACGTTGTCACCCGTGATGACTAAGATAGAATGCCTCGTGTCCAGTAAAAAGGTTTCTCCGGTTTTCTACACTCACCATACGAAACAGCAGCGTTAAGCTGATATTTTACGCTGGTGCTCTGTGAGAGCGTGGTCCTTCCTCGGTCGAACCGACCCTTTCATAATACAACTATGATATAGCTACATATGACTCGAAGTCACTTAGTGGTTAGCCACCGTAGAGTCTATATCACCTGAGGATGCCTCGTGTAGAGGCGAAACACGTGTCGTATTATCGTCAGTGGTGTGTCTTGCCTAGTGTAGTGGTGTTGGGAGTAGCGGTGCTGGGATTAGTGGTGACGGGGATAGTGCACGCAATTGAGGGAGGGCGGGAGGTGCTTCTTCATACTAGGTAAGACACATCATTTTATTTTATAACGCGGATATTTGCGAAGTAAATTTTTGTAAAAGCTTTTATAATAATGACTCTTAACAAAAACCAATAAACCGACTTCAAATTGCTAAAAAAGTCATTTATTTGCTACCCTTAGGGGTGAAATTTTTTCTTCAAATTTACATGGGACCAGCCTCGAAGTATAACCTATGTAATAAAAAAATAATCATCAAAATTGGTTCACAATCTGCAAAGATTTCGCGAAACATACATACAAACAAAAACATACACTCGAATTGAGAACCTCCTGCTTTTTGAAGTCAGTTAAAATACTAGCGTATAATAACAGTATAAAGCTGTTGTGTTTCAAATGGTGAGTTTAGGTAGGTATTGGTCTACCTTAGTCAAATGTGACAACGCATCTGCGTTTTGATTCATAATCGTTGATAGATGCACGTCTCTATGGACCACAGTATCCACTTACCAGCATGTGGACTGTGTGCTCGTTCATCACATTTGCTTTCATAAAAAACACGCAGTTGTAATTATTACAATGCTTTAATGCAGATTGGATGCGGTGCTTCGAACCGCCGCCGGTTCGATTCCCGCACGGGATATGTATTTGTAAGGCCTACGTATAATGTATCGGGTATGTGTGTTTGCGATTTGTTTAAGTAATTAAACGCCCTCACAATGCAGAGCTTCTAGTGTGGTGGTGTTGGTAACATTTTTATAAAGATAAATAAATTTTCTATAAATAATACGCCATCAATTGAGTCCTGCGATCATTGTAAGTTATTGTTATAATGATGTAGAGAATCAAGAGATCGAAACAAGTAAGGGGAAAGTTATTTATGCAGTTATACGAGTATAACCACTGCTAGATATGAACTTTTTCAAGAATTCGCCAAGTCCAAATGGCATTAAAAAAAGATTTGTCCTAATTTACCACTCCGAGGAGGCAGATTTTTGAGTGCAGAGCTAATACACTGGCACTACTTGTGCTATCATCTCCATCATAAAGTAAAATCCTAAGTAAAAAGCCTGTAGATATGGTTTTAGCATTTAACAGTGGATATACCGCCATTTATAGATCGCCAAAGCCTTGTTCTTTAAAAGGCGACAGAAAATTTTTATTAATCTTTACTTAGGATTTTCTCCTGTATCGTGGGGGAAGTTTACATACATAAATTTCATAAGGACAAACATCCAGACCCGGAACAATTATTTGTAGGCCATACAATACTGAGCCGTGGTAGCTCAGATGGTTAGCGCTCGCTGTAAGCCTGTAAGCTTCACAGTACTCGAGCAACCCGGGTTCGATCCCCGCCGCATTGGGGCAGCGCGGCGGACATTTCCTTGCCCTAAAACTCTCTCAGTAATGAGAGGAGGCCTGTGCACAGCAGTGGGACCTAAAGTAGGCTGTAAGTTTACTTTACTTTACATACAATACTTGTTCTGTGCTGGATTCGATCCCGCGGCCCTTAGCGATGCAACTCATTGCTAAGCCACTGTGCCACGGAGCCGTCATTTGATTTATTTTTGTTTATAAATAGCGAAGGAATGCATTATCAAATCGTTACGGCAGTCAAAGTGACCGTTTAATAACAATAATATAATATTATGAAATAAAATTAAATTTGTTACAGTATCTCCGGGAGCGGTTCAAAGTAGACGTTCCCCACCGATTTCGGCCGCACCATTTCATGTCCCCGACATTTTGCGACCATTGTGGAGCATTATTGTATGGTTTTTTTAAACAAGGATTAAAATGTGAAGGTAAATTGTGATATACATATACAAATACATAGCACCGTACAAAGTATGTTTATGAAATATTTATTCTTACAAAACAGTTGTATCAGCACTTACCTTTTAAAATTGGCGTCACCGCCACTGTCAACCCTGAAATTTTGAAACCCGAATAAAAATCTTAAATTGCGGCAAAATAATAATTGAGGTAGATTATAAAATTGAATCATTCTTAAAAATTTTAAACTCGTTTAAAGTAAACAAAAAAACTGTTTATACATAAATTTTATGTTGCTCGTGCTAGAGTTTGCAATTCTAAATACGCAAGCGTCAGTACACTTAAAATTGCAATAAATAATTTTGCTCTTTAGCAAGTGTATTATTTATTGCAATTTTAAGTGCTAGCTTGTCACCTACTCGGCGTTGAAAGAAATCTTCGTGGTGAAACCCTCATGACTGGTAAAATAAATATATTGAGTTTTCCGGGAAGTTAAGAAATGTGACACCTAAGCAAAGTCATCATCTGGCAGTAAATGCTGAAGCAGTGAAAGCTGCATCCATATTATAGTTGCAGCACGTCGGCTTGACCAGGAAAGAACCACGCTCTCATAGAATACCAGTGTCAAGTAGCAGCTTAATGCTGTTGTTTCTTATAGTGAGTGTATAGAACCGAAGACCCTTTTTACTGGTAAAGAGGCATTCTATCTTAGTCCTCAGTGATGACAACGTATCTACATTTGGTTTTTAATCGTGGATGGGTATCTATGGGCATCAACAATGTTTTATGTATATGAAATAATGTTTATGCATTTGTTATAATAAGCTTGTATATATTTGTAATTTGTATACTTATTAATTAGTAATATAAAATACTAACTTACAGTGTAATATATTTGTTGTAGGAGTTTTGCATGGCTTACGATATACTAATTGTGTTTATTTATTTTAGTATTGTATTATAGTATTGCGTGTGTGAAATTTAATTTTATGTGTCCGTTTTTGTATACGAACGTTCAACAACATCAACTCATATACATTCAACATCACCATAATATGTAAGTACACCGAATATATATTATATTGAACAACCGACTCAAATTCAATCCGTTCAGTGCAATGCAAAGCAGATCGTGATCTGTTAAGGTAGGAAAATGAAATCTTTATAAATATTATAGATAAATAGATATTATGTACAGTGGCGTTGCAAAAGCTGCCTCACATGGCCGCTAGAAACAAAAACAGCCCATTTAGTTAAACAAATACCTACATCAGTTTCAAAATACGAATTTTCTATTTAAAGGTTAGTTTTGGGAGGTAAAAAAGGAATTTTTAAAATATTTGATGATCGATTCAACTAATGCCTTTGGATAAAAAATACGTCTAGCATTACTTAACGAAATTCCTATCTCTATCTACTCTATTTTATCTTTAAAATGAACGCTGAAAAAAATCGATAGTCGTAAAGTAAAATCGGTAGTAGTATATATATAACTATACGTAATATAGGTAGTATGTACAAAGTAAACATTGAAAGAAAATTATCAGAAATGCGTTATTATTAGAATTGCATTAACAAGGGCGTCGCCAAGGGGACTAGAGACTCAAAAGGATGTAGTCAGATGCAAAGCAAACTTATCATAAAAAATAAATATTCTACAATCAAGAGCTCGTGGACATTTGAATTTGTACTGTTCTTATTACTGGGGTAAGACTAACAAGAGAAGTGTAAAGCTTCATATGCTCTTTTACCTACACTTTCCCATCCTCTATATATGAAATAAAGCCCCCCCCCCCCTCCCCCGCCCTCGGGCTATCGCCTGGCGTCACCCTTGTGCATTAATTTAACATATACGGAAAACTCTTAAAATTGCTGCCTCCCAACAGATTGTTATCAAAATTATATTGTTAACAAAACTATATTAAAAAAATGTGTAACATTAGTTAATAAACGGCCACTAGGGATGGTGTAATCTCTGGTGGAAAATGAAAAAAAAAACAGATTGTTATCATAACATTTGTGAATTGAATTAATGATTTGTAAAAAAAAACCTGTAATAAGATTAGACCTGTGCCTGGCAGTGGTAGAATTACTATAATTTATGGACTTATATTTTACTTTTACTTTTTAAAACCACAACTAATAAAATAGAAATTAAACGCTTTAACTAGTGAGCTTTAGCTTTTTTAGTTACCTGAGTAACTTGTCTAAATAAACGTTTAATTATCAGATTAGGTGCGGCTCGAATCGTCAACGGCCGAGTTCTTACTGATCGGCTCAATTCACTGGCGCTGCGAAAAGATGTTGCTACCCTTTGCATTTTGCTTTCGCATTTACCACGGGGAGTGCTCTGAGGAATTGTTCGGATTAATTCCAGCCGCCAAATTTCACGAACGCACATTGCGGCCAAACTACCGATACCATCCTCATCATCTGGATGCTTGGCGGTCCACCACTGTACGTTTCACTAGGAGTTTTCTTTCGCGTACGACCTATCTGTGAAATAATTTACCACCGGCGATTTTTCCGGAGCGATACGACTTCGGGACCTTCAAGAAAAGAGCTTACTCCTTTTTAAAAGGCCGGCAACGCACCTGCAATCCCCTTGGTGTTGCAGTTGTTTATGGGCGGCGGTAGTCACTTACCATCAGGTGAGCCGCATGCTCGTTTTCCCTATGAAAAAAAGATAACTTCAGATTTTTCAAACGGATTATTGTACTATAATAGTGAAATATCATTGTTTATCCTTTTAAAACAACCGATACGAGACCTGGTCGATTCCTCTTCGTATATTACATTCTATGAAGACTAGGAAGACTAGCGCTCTCTGTTATTTAATTATTTTAAAACTCTATTACACTTAATAGAGTTTTCCAGCCGTGGTAACGCAGGGTGTAAATTTTACAGTATTACACGAGCAACCCGGGTTCGATCCCGCCGGCACCAATAAAATTGTTAATTGCAATTTTAAATGCTGATTTACCACAAGTTCGGCGGTGAAAGAAAACGTCGTGAGGACACCCGCATGTCTGAGAAATAAAAAAAAATTATACTTCGAAGACATGTGAAGTTCGCCAACACGCATTTGGGGCAGAGCGGCGGACATTTCCTTGCCCTAAAAACCCTCTCAGAAATGAGAGAAGGCCTGTGCTCAGCAGTGGGACGTATGTAGGCTGTAATTTTAACTTTAAAACACTAGTGCTTAGTATGCACTCGAAATTGATTCACTATTCGAGGGTATCTCAGTATAAAGCTACATATGTATGTAACCATACTTATAATACCAATTTCATGTATGTCAATCTATACGTATTTTATTGACTTCGACTACATTGATGATGTTCTCATTTTATTTATATTGAAATCGGTTGTACAGAATTATTAATTTTACCACTTGTTTTGTAAAATTTGTGCAGAAATCTCCGTTTTTCCTTTTCCATTATTTATTAATTATATTAAGCAAGCTGGTATTTTTATTTGGCGGCGCGGTACTAAAGCCCCATGGTATTCCACCTTCATAGTGGCAGGGCCACGGGAATGCTTTCGCACACATCCCTGGCCCCACCAGCGCCGGCTGCCCCATGGCGGCCCTAGACTCATATTCGTCCCTATCTCCTTCTCAGGTAAGGTGCACCAGAACACATGGTGTCTCGTGTCCGATGCGCGAAGGCCATGGGGGCGGAAAAAATGAGCACTCAGAAGCACTTCCTGACCCCAGCTACGGATCTGGTCTATGGCTCTGCCGCCAACCAAGATTAGGGTCCGAAGGGTAGGTAGAGTGGTGCCTCGCAATACCGACATTCCTCTTTACCCGCAGCCCCACCACCACCGCAACAACGGTGCGGCCCGTCAGAGTCGCGGAGAATAGGGCGAGTGGCGCATCGGCTTTCCAACACTCCTCTTCCTCCGTGACTCCACCCCAACTGCAGCGGTAGAGGGAGAGGACACCCCTCTCGCCGCAGCTCACCAACACACATGCGAAGTGGGCTCGTCAAGACCACTCGCCACCTCGGGCTGGCCCTTCACCTCGGGCCAGCCATGTGGGTTCCTCTTAGTTCACCGCGGGTGGCCAAGCCACGACTACTACGCCACGACAAGGCGGGAACCCGTTCGGGGTTTGCAGAGGCTATTACCTAGCGTTTGCCTGCAGCGCCAGTGGTATACTCGAGTTCGAATAAGTGTCTGTATGGCCTACAAATAATTGGTTTCAGTCTGGATGTATTTGTTCGTAAAACACCTTCACGATGAAGGAGTCAATCCTAATGTGGGAGTAATCTTTTAAAATCTCTATAAAATTGTTGGATGTGTCTGTTAGTGATCGTGTAGAGCTTCGATCACACACAGTGAATAATCGCTACAAGTGTAATATTCGCAGCGACAATTCGCTGACTGCCTGTCACACACAGCGAGTACTACACGAGAATTATCTATAATATATATCTTTTATATTCTTCAATTATCTTTTCAATTGTTCTTGGGTTGCTATTTCGAATCCCAACTCAATTAATTCGTTAAACAATGAAGGCGTCTGCCTTTTGCGTTTTTTTTAATTACTGTTATTTGTGTCAAACAGTTCCCCATTTTTTCTATATACACCCAAGAAATGAATTATATCGTAATTTCTCCATTTTAGAGAATCGTTTATTGGTTAACTCATTTGATTAACCTACACACACGTATCATGCAGCAACGAAACGACCTATGCACAGGCGTGTATTCTGGAACGGAATGGCTACTCGCAGCGAGTACCTTGTCACACAGCGAATTCTCACAGCGAGAGCTCATTCGCAGAGAGTAAAATTGAACATATTCAATTAAATCCGCAGCGAATTCAACTCGCGGCGAATAAATCTAATCGCTACAAGCTAAATCATACTTAGCGAATTCTCGCTGCGAGTGCCAAATCGCAGCGAGTATTCGCTATGTGTGACCCAGGCTTAAGTTTTAAACGGTACGACCGAAACCGAACGAAGTCTTAAACAATATATTTGTTTTGTCGAGAGGATGGTTCGAACTACTTCGAACGGCTTGTTCAAGTAC